AACGCATTGTGATTTTTTTCTTGTTGATTTGGGAAACAAAGTCTCGTTTTTTTCTCTCGTTCTCGTACACGAAGAAGAAAGCACGAGAGATGAACTGAAGAAATTGATAGAGAGATTGTGAATCTATATACAGTATATATATATAGATTTGTACTTTATTTCTTGGTCCAAAAGGTAAAAAGAAAATCTCATCATTAATAGTTACGAAGGTTGACTTCTGGATACGATTTCCATATCTTATTGAGTTTCCTTAATTAATCTCATGATTGTATTAAGAGAAAATGGAAACAAACTAAATCATCATTTAAAAAAAAAAATCATCAAGAGTGAAACGTACTATAAAACAGTGATGGAATACAATAAATCCTTTATGCAATTTCCGAATATTCTTAAGAAAAAACAAATAATAATAAACTGAATTAAGTACAAAAAGATTAATCGCAAACTAAACTAAATCAAACAATTTTTTTTTAACTTGAGAGACTTTTGAGTGCGCGTGTGTTTACGATTTCCTATTTAGATTTCACTCGAGATTAGGAAAATATGAACGTTGTAAAACGGTAACATTTTTTCGACCGTTGTAATTTAAATTTGAATTAACTGCTAATAACTCTATAAATACTCCTTTCTTAGGTCAGAAAACAGAATCCTCTAACTCAGCTTATTTCGAATCGATCTATTCTTCTTCTCTTGACTTTGTTGTTCTTCACTCAGATTTATTATTCTCCATTTCTCATTAAACCGATTCTCTAAACAAACACAAAGGCATCATCTTACAAGGTACGATCGAAAACTCTGGTCTAATTAATCTAGTTTCGTTACAATTAAGAGAATCTTCTACTCTCTGATAATTATTACCGTACGTGTTCGTTTTATCTCTCTGAGTTTCACATACTTTGTTTTAAATCCGTTTTACATATCTTCTTGTCTTTAATGATGTGCTTTTTTTAGATAAAACTGATTCTGAAGCGTAACGAATATGAGACCAATATGTTCAGTTTTTTTTTTAAAATCAATGTGTTTTTGTTCTGTCTAAGAAAACATAGAATGGATTATTCCCGTAAATAGCTTTAATTTTTTTAGATTAATGTGTAATATTCTAATTTGTATGTATGCAGCTACAAAAAGTTGTTGAAGAACCGAAGGTTAAATAGTGGCAGAAATCGACACGGTGGAACGTTTACAACTCGCCCGTACGATTCAGAAATCTAAAACGGTTAGTAATTATTCTACTTTTTTACGGTTTCTAAAAGTTAATATAAACACTATATCCTCACAATAAAACATTACTTTTGATGTTACGAATATTGAAATAACAAGATGCATTTGTAAAATCCCTTTTTAATTCTCTTATTAGTAAACAAGCCGTAGATAAATAATCATATGTTTTAGGTACCTTATAAAATTTAATCTACGATCATAATAAAATAAGAAAGTATTTTTTCAAGACTTATTATATTTTCGTTCTTCTTAAACTGTTAGATATATTGAAGAAAGTTGAATGGTTTTTACATGTAATTTTGAAAACTAACCTAACATGGAACCCACTCATATGATTATTATATGTTCGTTAAAAGTGACATAAGTTCAACTTGTTATTTCACATTGTATGTAAAAATCAAAAAATTTCTAATTTTAATTTAGCATGAAATAAGAATTATAGTTTAGCCAAAACTTAAAATTTTAGCATAACATATAAAATATCTTTTCAAAAATTAACATACTTTGTTTTTTTTCTAGTTGTTGGATAAATTGAAGAAATTTGAATCGTTTACATATAATTGTGAAAACTAACCGAACATAGAATCCAATCATATGATTATCATATGTTCGTTAGAGGTGACATAAGTTCAACTTGTCCTTTCACATCGTATGTAAATCAAATAATTTCTAACTATATTTTAGCCAAAACTTAAAAGTTTATCATAACATAAAAACCATATTTTACGTACCTTATCAAAATTAATATACGTCATAATAAAATATTNAATTATCTTTTCAAAATTTAACATTTTTTTTCAAATTGTTTGATAAATTGAAGAAATTTGAATGATTTACAGATAATTGTGAAGACTAACCGAATATGGAATCCAATCATATGATTATCATATGTTCGTTAGAGGTGGCATAAGTTCAACTTGTCTTTTCACATTATATGTAAACTTCTAATTTTTATTTAACATGAAATAAGAACTATATTGTAGCCAAAACTTAAAAATTTAACATAAAATAAAAAACAATATTTTTTGTACCTTATAAAATTTAATCTATGTCATAATAAAATATGAAAGTATCTTTTCAAATCTTAACATAATTTTTTTTCTTCAAATTATTGGATAAATTGAAAAAATTTGAATGGTTTACATGTAGTTGTGAAAACTAAACGAATATGGAATCCAATCATAAAGATTATCATATGTTCGTTAGAGGTGAAGTTCAACTTGTACCTTCACATTGTATGTAAATCAAACAATTTATAATTTTTATTTAACATAAAAAGAAGAACTATATTAACTATATTTTAGTCAAAACTTAAAATTTAACATAAAATAAAAACCATTTTTTTATACCTTATAAAACTTAATCTACGTCATAGGAAAATATGAAAGTATCTTTTCAAAACTTAAAATATTTTTTATTCAAATTGTTGGATTAAATTAAAGAAATTTGAATGGTTTACATATAATGGTAAAAACTAACCGACACATAGATATCGGTATTATGATCTCTTAATTCACGAGCTCAGTGTCATTCTTTGTAAGCAATAAAGTCAACTAGTAGTTTTGAATTTGGATTCAATAGTTCGGGATGACTATGAAATAATGAAAGAAAGAAAGTTTGAATCACTGCTACTAAACTAAATTTTGAAGTACAATAGTACTATTATCATAATCAACTAATACACAAGAATAAATAAAAACATTAAACACACAACCAATTCAAAGAACTGA